TCTCCCTTTACAAATCTGACTAAGTAAGTATTGAGGAATAGGGCTCTACAAAGAAAAGGCCAACCACTGTGCGCGCAATGGAGGCAAACCACATGGTTACAATCATGTACAAATCAACATCCTTCTCATCATCATCATCATCATCTCCTCAGCCTGTCACCGATGCATGTCATACACATACAACGATCATGGTATATACAAGCAAGCTTTAAAAAAAATATAATATCTCAGTGAATGGCAACAAGTTACAATCACGCTTGGTAGGATTAAAGTAATTCATTAAATTCTATAATCACATTTTGTACAATTTCTCAACAATTTGTCATATTTTTATATATAGTTTGCAGTTATCATATTCAATTAGATAAAATTATACGTAAGTAACTTATATAAATTACCATACCAAATATAGGTGGGAAAATTCTAAGTTACCTGTTCTCCTTTAGCTTACAAATAGTCACATATCAATCCAAGCAGTAAAAACTTTTTAAAAAGAGTCTACAAAAGCAGACACATATAACAATATTAATAGACAATTTAAATATGCTAAATGATTATCCTAAAACTACTTTACAATTACTCTAAAATTATTTTAAGACCTTGAAGCTAGTTTAGAGAACTCAAAGTTCTCTTATAAATGCATATTTTTTATTCTTTGGATCCCCTTAATCTCGTACATCGAGTTTCTTTAATAGATCATCCCCTAAGAAATCTTGTACTAGAGATCCGTGAGCTATTGTACGATGCTAGAGATGTTTCACTCTACTACTCTAACAGGGAGGCCATTATGTGTGTTGATTATATGGCAAATAATGCTTATTCAAATATGCCTGGAATAATACTGGCGTTTGGAAAGATTCCTTGAAGACCAAAGACGACTCACTAGTTGAGCTTTTTAATGTTTGGAACTTGGTTTCTATTTTACTTTCAAGCTTTTGCTTGCCTTTGTATCTAAGAAAAATGCATATTTTTTCATAAAAAATTTTCTTAATATTTATAACTCTAATAATTTTTTTAACACTAATGCATTAATTTTAAGCCAATATTTATCTCAAATCCTTATTCTAAAAGTCCTCAAAGACGATGAACAATAATTATTTAAAGATTAAACAACTTAAAATATCAAAATAGACTTAGATATATTATTAGAGAAATCATCTATCAATAAAAAGACTTCAAGAGTTCTGAATAGGTTGCATTGTAAATTTTCTACCCTCAAGAATTTATAAACTAAGAAGATAAACAAATAGAATGAAATATTTAAAATACTTACCCATTTTTAAAAAGTTTCATATAATCTTTAATGTATTTGATAATAAATCCTAAACATTGAAATCTCCTTATTGCCTCTCTGCGCGCGCGCGCGCACGTGTCGCTGTTGAAATGTGTGTGTATTGTAGGGATAATAATAATGATGGAGACGGGATGGGAGTAGATTCAGTAATTTGTGCCAAGTTCGACGAGCCCACTAAACCAGCCTAAAAAATTTAAACTTGAGCCTGAAAAAATAATAATTTTTTAATAAAATTCTTCTGAAATATATAAATGACAATTCATCATTCGAAATGTCATAATTTTCCTACAATTCTTAGAGACTTTTTTATTATTAATAAATTTATATAAATTACCAAATTATCTTTATTGAAAATAAATAATTCACAACTTTTCTTTTTAAATTCACAATAATACAATAATAAATCACAACTTTGTATGTTAAATTCCTTATTTGCTGTTTTATTGTTGCGAATATAAAAAGAAAAATTATGAATCATTTATTTTTAATAAAGGTAATTTGGTAATTTATATAACTTTATTAATAACAGAAAAGTGCTTAGGGACTTCAGAAAAATTATGACATTTTAAATGACTAAATTGTCATTTATATATTTTAGAAGAATTTTATTGTCATTTTTTCTTGATTCAATAGGGGCACTTTAAAAAAATGATAATAATTATACCTTAAAAAATTAAAAATGTCTTACATTTTTAACATCTAACTCCTCAAAAAATATCATACATTTTTTAACGAAGGAATAATAAATTTACTCATCATGTTATGTTTCATTTTATTTTTTCTAAATAATAATAAATTTATTTTATCATCAATCTAAACATTACAAATTTAATTAATAATAATAAATTTATTCTATCATCAATCTAAACACTGAAAATTTAATTTAAATGATCAAATTTAATATTAAATATTTTATAATTTTTATAAATTAATTATCCATATATATTCTGAATAGTTTAGATTTAAAATTTTTAAATTGTAAAATTTTCTTAATTTTTTTAAAGCGTCAGTTTGAAAATTATCTTCATTTTTATATTTTTAATATTAAATTTATTAAAATAAAAATTAATGAAAATTTTAAAAAAATTACTATTAAATTTAAATTGTCCATAATACATATAGATAATTAATTTATAAAAATTATAAAAAAATTAATATTAAATTAAATTATTCAAATTAAAGATGTATTATTTAAATTGATGATAAAATAAATTTATTAAAATTTCATAGTTTTTTTTATAATAAATATAAAATATAAATATAAAAGTAAAACTTTAAAATATGGACCGTCCACATAAAACAGAGACAGTACCAAAACCACAATCTGGCAGGCGAATATCGTGATGCATATGAAAGTACCCGCACAAGGAACAGTATTTGGGTATTTTTATGCCGTTTTTGTTGGTGGAGGGACTGGCCTAAGTAATTCCACCCTTGATCATAGATTTATCATGTTTGATTCAGAGGGTTTAGATTTTTAATAACTGATACTTTTTGTTGTAGTTATGTGAGGGCACATTAAAAGATCTAGTTCAAGGAGTGAAAATAGGCTAGTAGATAAGTGGGTTAAAAAGCAATTAAATACTTAAATTATAAGTTCAAAAATACTTAAGGGACTGTTTGGTTGAGGGGAGGGAAAAAAAAAAAAATTTTTTAAAATTTTTCATCCCCTCCAAAACCTTCCCCCCCCCCAAATTGGAGAAATCCATCCTTCTCCTCCCCAGCCCCTCCTCTAAACTCCCCTCCCATCCCCTCCTTCTCCTGCCCCTCCCTCCCCTCCCCTCCCCTCCATCATTTTCCCTCTCATTTTTTTGTGTAATATTCTCTCCCAACTTTTTTTTTTAAAAAAAAGAAAATACTACATTTATTCTTGCACTTTGCTTAGGTTTTAGTTTAGGTTCATACAGTTTGTTTTTTGTGTTCAAAGTCTTTACACTTTTCTCGATCTACAACATTAGTCCTTATATTTTTAGAGGGACATTGATATGGTACAAGCAGTGTTAATAATACTGATGTGTCAATTAAGAACGTTAATTTTGTACTTACATCTCAAATTGATGCTAACATGAAAATTTTAATAACATTTTTTTTAAAAAAAGCCTACATGAAATTTGTACATTTTGTTGATCATTTAAAAAGTCTAGGTTAGCCTTTTTCTTTCATTTGATGTAGATTTTTTTTAAGTTTTTGCTTATTAAAAAATTTCATGCCAACATCAATTTGACATGTAAGCACAAAATTAATGATTTTAATTGACATGTCTACATTATTAATACTATTTGAGCCATGTCAACATCCTTCTGAAAATTAAAGGATCAATGTTGCAAACGAAAAAAGTGTAAGTACTTAAAATACTAAAAATAAAGTGCAAGAACTTATATTAAAACTCAAATAAAGTACAAAGATTAAAAGTAATGTTTTTTTAAAAAAAAATTAATAAGTTAAAATATCTACCAAGTTAACCCATTAATCTTTAAGAATTGAGTTGGATTGAGTTGAAATTTTTTAATCCATATGAAAATAGGCTGAACCCAATTCAACCCAACACATCTCACATTTTTCCAAACCTGTAGAGATCAACCTATATTATTTAGGTTGGCCATATTTCCATCTTTACTCATGAAATTCACAAATAACAATGCAGTCCTAAATCTGTAAAGTGTGGATAAACTTTCACGTGCAATAATAAAAATGATCTTATTCGTTTTCTTTTATTTGACAAAAATATTGTCTTATTCTTTATGAAAACAATTTTGAATTGGGCCAGACTCAATGTGGAAAAACAGCAACAGGATGACACTTTTCACCCCCAACAAGCCTAACATATATAGTCTGTCATTGGATTCATCGCCTTGAGTTTCAATCGTTTATAAATGCTGTATCCACCACATTGGTAAAAATTACAAGTTTGTCTGATATTTAAAATAAAGGTAGCACCTGTTTGAATTTTAATTGAGTATAATAAATTATAAAATAATTAATTAAGTGATAGATTTTAATCATAATTGATTATGTTATAACGCAATCTATTTAGATACTGTTTTTCTAAAATTGATTTTAACAGAATTGAAAATATTTGAATAATTTAATCAGAATCAATTTTAACTATATAAATTACTATATAATTTAATTCTTAAATACCAAACATTAATTTTTTGAGGATATAAAATTTAAATTTTATTAAGAAAAAAAAAAGAGAAGAGAAGAGAGTTTGATTTTATTTTTATTAAATTATATGTTTTATTTGTAATTTTTTTGTGGGCCTTTCTTTGTAATTTTTTCCAACATTTTTTGACAAACTTTTGGCAGAAAGCCGTGGAGGGAGCTTACGGAAAAACGTGTGTCTTGCCTCATAATTGATTTTCGAGCTTTTTTGAGTATTTGGATAAATTGGATGAAAAAATTGATTCCTATCCAAACACACACGTAGTCTTTTATAAAAATAAAATAAAATAAAAAAGGTAGTCTTTCCAGAAATCATGCTAAGCAGATCTTGAATCTTGATGTAACAGAGGAACTTCAAGAAGTAGCATCAAGAGACGCTGATTGGAAATTGATATAAAATATATAAAAGTTTTATTAGTAAAATTATATTTTAAAGTGAAATTATAAAGAGTAAATTTACATTTTTGCAAGAAAAAATCCAAATCATGTTTTTCACTTTCTGATTGTGAGAAAAAAGTAAATGGCATTGACATAAAATAAATTATTACAAGAATCATACTCCTTTTATTAAATTAATATCAGAGACCATAAATGGAAGTGTTTCTACGACAAAAGATCAGCACGTCTCAAAATATTATTAGTACATTATGAAATGCCCTCTTTTGATTCGAAGCATCCTATCTTCAAAGCTCGTCCTTCAACTTAGCACTAGCGTCGAAAGCACAGACCCTAGCTTCCTTATAAACCCTTCCAGGCCGGCAATAATACTTCTTGCTTGGTGCACAGTGACGATCTTCTGAGCAAATGCACAAACCTTCAAGAGCACATCCATCTTTCAATATTGCCACGCCTTCTTTCAGCCCTAGAACCTGATCTGTCCATTCGCTAGAGAAAATCCCTTGAGGATCATACTTGTTTTTCACGCTCAAGAACTTGTCAGCATTTGGGTACTTCTTGATCGCTTCAACGAATGCTAAGTTCCTGTTCTTTCCCCAGTGGGGTAAGCCTCCATATTTGAACAACCCTATCTGCTCAATCTCCTCATAAATGTCCTCAAAAAGCCTCGGAGATAAAGGATTCTTGCTTCTAAAGTAAGTGATGTCGAAATCAACAGCGTCGTCTGTTTTCCCCATGTAAGCACTCGACGCTTTGACATAGCGCATCAGGATTCCATTGTTGAGCTCCAATCCACACAGTGCTTGTGGCTCCAATTCAACTAGCTTCTGCACATCTTTGATGAAGCCTGGAATGTTAGACAAGGAGATGCTGAAGGCTGTTTGGTGGAAGAATTGGAGTTGGAGTCTAGAATCCCAAGGGCAAATGGTGATTTTTCCGTCTTCTAAACTGTCTAGGCAGGTGCCAGATGATTGCATGCGATTGTTTGGTCCAACCACGGGGTACCCAGTAAAGAGTATACCTGTTTTAGCAGAAAGAATCCAAAAGGTCATGATTTTTAATATGGTTCGAGGTAACTATATAAGGACGAACGAAGAAACGAGTGTTCTAAAAGTGTTTGTTGAAATGTGTAGATGAAAAAAGATTGAGTACCGTTGTTAGTCAAGCCATAGGCAGCGGTCTTGAGCGTTCCAGTCACCAGCTTGGCACCAACGCATTTGCCATTAGCGTCCCTTGTTTTTTCTTGAAGCTCCTCTGTTATGCAAAGATTCAAGTTCTACCTAGCTTAGCTTTGGGAAGACTGCTTTAAGGCTAGTAAATTTATGTATTTCATATCAATTTTAAGCATTGTGAAATATGTGAATTATCGAACCAGAGTCAAAGAATATGCAAGAAAATGATAAAAATGGAAGCTAAATTAAACTAACCAGTGCCTCTGGTAGCAGCTAAAGTAGCAGTGAGAGTGGGACGAAAAGGGATGAAATCATAGAGACCATTTCCAGAGTGATTGAAGGAAACTCGATCGTCAACTCTATACAATGCCCTCTTCTGTGATGGAAACCACCCTACGTCACCAAACTCGTGCTTTTCTCCAAACCTCACCAATTCCTCTCCCAAATCTGAATCATCCTTTTCCACATATGTAAGAGCTCGTTTAAACATGGGCTCTAGCTGTAGGGTCACCTGCAGATTCACCGATTACATGCATATAATTATTACAATACAGTCAAAACCACTCTTTTACACAATACAATTAAATACTATGATATACATACATACATACATATATATATATATAGTTTTGTTAAGTTGTCAATAGATTTTTTAGTATTTAAATATGTTCTGAGGGAGTTGTATGGAATTCTCCTTTTTTATATTTCATCATGTTTTGCCTTCACGTGTGTAGAAAATAGGATCAACGAAGAAGCTGCAGGGTCAATGTCACAACTTTAGGATAGGAACAAAACACAAGTTGTTTTATGTAATGTTTTCCTATCTTCCAAATCAATGTGTCCCGAGCTGGCCAGTTAAATTAAACTTAAATATATTTTTTTATTACATAAAATAGTTCGCCCAATCTATTTCAATTGAGTTGTAGCTTCGCGGGAAATTTTCCAAAGACAGAACATATCAACTTGGAAACTAATATATATATATATATATATATATAGTTGTGTCAATATAATAATCCACACAAATTTAATTTGAATTTTTGTTACTGTTACATTATTTTAGTAAAGTCAACTTTCTTTGTAATAATTAAGCTATATAAGGCATATTTTGTGCTCCCTCTTGTCCAAAGTATAAGCAATTTTTCACAAAAATTCACATACAAATAAAATTCTTATTTTCTGTAAAATATATACTATTTTTCTTTTTAACCTTTAATTTCAATTTATAATAAGTGAAAAGAAGGTTATAAATTCACAGAAACAAAAATCCAGATTAATAAATAGAAAGGATAAAATAGTAATTTTTTTTCAAATACTAAGTTCCTTAATTTTGATCAAAGATTAGCTGAAAGAAAAGTACTTATATTATGGACAGGAAGGAATGCATGACAATCAAGATGACATAGAATTCTAACAAAAGAATGCCGGCCATTTGATCAATTCTTAGTACATATGCGAATCAAAAAGTTTCAAAGTTTTCTGCAATATAAGTATATACTATTTTAATCCTATTTATAAGTTACTTTTAATATATTTTATTAGTATCAAAAAAAATTTTAAATCACATTAACTTTGTCTAAAAATTTAATAATTAGTTATCAAATTTGTTCATATTGAATATGCATACTTTAACAATATTTTTTTCTTTCCAATATTCAATAGAGGATAAAAAAATTGTTATGAAAATTTAATAATGTAACTTATAAATGAGAAAGAAAATTTTTTCTCTCTATTCTATAAATATGACACGAGAGACTATTAATTATTAAGCAAAAAGTCAGTTTGAAATGGATAACGCCAAAAATTTTAATTAAGTTTTAATTTTATCTTTATTAATTAAATATATATATATTTTTTAATAACGTGTTAAAAGAGAAACTTGTGAAAAAAAACTATTACCTTGATTTATAAATCGGATAAAAAAATATTTCTCTCTATAAATTATAAAAAAGATGGGAAGGAGTAGCATACTATATTCTCATAATTGTTTTTAAGTATTGAATAATAACCATATTTTTTATTAGTTTTTGGTAAAATATATATTTTTAATTCAACACAAAAAATATTTTTTAGGTAAAAAATTATTATTTCGTTTCGATGAGTGACAAATTATGCATAAAAGATTTGATTGGAATTTCTTAAACGAAAAATTACTGATTATATAATCGATCACTATGTATATAAAAATAAATGGGCACGATTGGGAAGGCTAGCCAATGACGTTTGATAATAGCAGTCCAATATGGCCCACGTGACCATCTATAATTAAATATGGTAATTTAAGTTAGTCTAAAAAAATTTAAGACTAATCTTGATAAAAAAACGATTTTTTATGTTCAGACCTAATTGAACGAAGCTGAATGACCTAAAAAAATTTGGGTCAAGCTGATTGATTCCGAGCTTGGCCTGACTAAATTTTTTTTTAAAATATATTAAATATTAATTAATTTTCAAAATTTTAGAACATTTTATATTAAGAAAATATATATTTGAGTATATTATTATAAATATTTTTAAAAAAATTAAAATATTTATATTGTAATATTTCTGTTATTTTTAATATAAAAAATCTGTTTTTGAAAAAATCTATAAAATTTTCAAATTAATAGTTAAAATATATTTCAATATTGTTTTAAATCTTAAAACCTGCATATTTTTTTAAAAAGTTCGAGTATTCTACCTTGTTTAAGTATTTCAAACAATATAGTTTATATTTTTATAAAATAAAAATAATTAATTTTAAAGTAAAAATTAAAATTAAAATTAATTTTAAAATAAAAAATTGATAATTTAAATATTTGGGCCGACCCGAGTAAATTCGAAGCTTGAAAAAATTACCGCAGAACTTGGTTATTTCGGTTCATTGAGGCCTAATATATTCAGCCAGTCATATATTATTATTATTATTCGGAGTCATACCTGAGAAACAACCCCGAGAACCCCAAGAGAAACCTTGGCTGCTTTCAGTTCTTCATCTGACTCACTCAGGCTCCTTACCTTCGCATGCCCTTCTTCCGCCGTCGCCGGCGTCACAATCCTCATCGAGACCACATACTCATGAATTGCACTGCCCTTCCCCCACAGCGAGCTCCCATGAGCCCCCGTCGCTAACAATCCCCCCACCGTTATTCCCCACCAGTACGGCGTATACGGCAGAGTCAACCCTTTCTTCGCCGCTTCACTGATCACTTCTCTCAGAAGGACCCCGCTCTCCACCGTCATCCTTCTGCTCTCTGCATCCACCTTCACTATATGGTTGAGCTTGTTTGTGCTTATCAAGATCCCGTCTTGGCCTCCAGGGCAAGCAAGCTTGGGGATGCTGTGGGAATATCTGGTGGCTGCTTTCACTTTTGTGTTGGATTTTGATGCCGAAACCACCATGGATATCAGCTCTTGCTCCGTGGTTGGGTACAGTACTTGGGAAGCTCGGCAGGTGCTCCGATCAGGGAAGACACCGTAGGAGTTGGTAATGGTGCAGTCTTTGTTGCCGGAAGCGCACTCGACGGGGTCATCTGGCGGAGAAGAAAAAACCCCATTCATGAAAACTATCAAGAAGACGATGAGAGATAACTTAAGCATTTTCATGGTTGAAAGTCTTCTTTTTCGATGTAAAGTTTGTTTGTTCGTGCAGCATTATATAGAGAGAAAAGAGAGGGTGGTGGAAATTTGACTTCAAATTAAGTAGCTGAATATTTTGGCCTGATCGATCGTGTAAAATCATGATCACGTGCCATAAATCTTAACGACGATGCGAATGTCTACATATAATATTTTATCACCAGTGGCCTAATGATCGGACTTATCAATAAAGACTAATGCGTGCTTAATTAATGTTAGTTCTAAGCCATGACTTTTCAACCTGTATCAATTTAATATTCGAGATACCTAAGAAGTTCGGTGAGTGCGTGCGTGTTTGTGTGTATCAAGGCCAGGTCGGACATACGTCGATTACGAGAGTTTTATTAGTTTACTTAAGGCTGTGTTTGGTCTGTGAGCAGGGAGGGGAGGGGAGAGTCTTTATATTAACTTATTTGGTTTTATTAGAGAGGAGGGTAGAAGAGGGGAAGGATTTTTTAATGATCCCTGTTTGTTTTAGAAGGAAAGGAGAGAGGAGGCATAATAATTAATTTACTATTATACCCACACACACATATATATTATCTTTTATTTTTTTCACTTCTATCTTGTATATATAAATTAATTTACACCACAAAAGAATTTTGTAATAGACAATCGTTTGAACCTGGATTGTTTAGATGATCAGATCAGTAATTAAAAATACATGCAAAAACATTATTCTTAAATAAACAAAAAAATAAATAAATTCCCAGCCATGTGTTTATTGAATTTTCCAAAATTCAAAAGCATGTTTCTAATCACTGGAACCACACGGACAGAGGAATTAATCACTCCACTTCAAGCCTTTGCCCTTCCTTCAAGCTAGCCTCCACCGACTTCCAATTCCAAATTAAACTAGCAAAGTGCAGACTTCCTCATTCTCTATTCACTCTGTTGATGGCCAAACTAAAGCTTAGAGTCAGAGTCTGCAACGAGGGACGGCCACTTTCTCCTCCTCGTACAGATTGAACCGCAACACAATGGCGACCTCCTTCATCTACATGGAGGAGAATAGGGGAGGGGTGTTGCCATTGATTTGACTTATATCAACAGCTAAGATGGATTCAACTGCAGCATGAATGACAATGAAGGGAAACTCGTCGGAGAAAGCTTGATGGAGAATGACAAGAGGCTGGGAAGTCGAGCACAGGAGACGGAGTTTGTTTGTTTGTTTGTTTGTTTGTTTTTTTTTTTGACTGATGGGTATTTATGGAATATAAGAAAATTACTGGGGTCAAATTAGTTAAGATACTTGGCTCTTCTTGAAAAAAAAGAAAACCCAATTTAAAGGGGATTAAAAATCCCAACCAAACACAACCTAAGGGAGAGAAGCACAAGCACAAGGGGCAGATAAAACGACAAGGCTGCCAAAGATGATCATTAAAAGATGGGAATGAAATCCATCACAACCCTCCATTTTACACTCCCATATGATATTAGCCAGTAAACGGGACGGTATGGTCCATGGAACTATTTTACTTGTCGAATAAATTACAAATATTTATAGTTCAACAGATCTCTCTCATCACTCGCTGCCTCTTGATGAAAAGGCAGAGATGATTAAAAGCACAAAAAAAAAGAAGCCTAAAGTAAGCAAACAATTGGCATAAATATTACATTTCCTAAGAAAATTAATGATATAGAACTGCATCCTAGTCTCTGTGATACATCAGGCGTGCTTCCCCAATTATGTCAAAAAAATGGATGAGCATGGTCACACTCTCTACATATACTAAGCAAATGGCTTCCACACAATCACATTAAAGTGCATTTCTTTTTTTCTTTCTTTTTTTTTTATACAAACGAAGCCAGTACCAGGCTAGCCTAAATTGCTACTGGCGTTATCCCAGTCCCTAGCCAAAACACAAACTAATTCCGGAAAAGAAAGGGGGGGGTTCCATTGTGCTCAAGAAATCAGGCATCGATCTCAAGCCACGCTTGGCAAAAGTGCATTTCTTTTCCTGTATATTTTTTCAAGGAGCGATTAGCAGGATGTGGTAATAAGTGGGGTATTTTTTTTTCCTAAACCATTTTCAAAAAAGTATAAGCAAAAAATACACTTTAATCCTTGTTAATTTAATCATTAGTTAACAAACAAAAATTATAAAGAATAATATAAAAAATTTAAGAAACTTAATCGATATTAATTTTGTTAAAAAATCATTTTCTTAATAAAATATTAAATATTTTAATAATATTTATTAAATTTTAATGTTAAAGTGCATTGTTTTCCTATACTTTCTTTCGAAGAGTGCTACTTATTTTACTATATATTAATACAGGACATCTAACACTTTTAGAAGAAAAGTATAAGATACAAAATACAAATCTAAAATCCAAATTTAATTTATAAATTAAAAACATTTCATTTTTTAGGGAAATTTTAAATACGGGTCATGGTCCAAGCCTTTTTTTAAAAGCAAAAAAAAAAACCACTTTATAGAAAAAGGTCCCAGTTTTTAAAACCCAAACCTTATACCTTTTCTTATATATTTGCAAAGTTTATCACGGTACCGTTCGTTTAATATTGTATGAACAGTAATCATTTTTTTTTTAAATTAATCATTGCATATCTATAGTTCATGTGGGATTTATAATGAAGATTTAAAAATACGTGTGTGGCCCATACTAAAAAATGCTTATAGATATGAAACTCTTAATAAAAATATGTATGAGATCTATTTTTTGTTTGTTTGTAAATATAGGAGACTTTCCATTTGTTGCTTATATTTTATATATGTATAAGATCATTAATTGAATATAAAATAAAAATTTAAATAATAAATAATAAATAGTTGTAAAAAATGCTTGTAGATATGAGACTCTTAATGAAAATAATATGTATGAGACCTATTTTTTTTTTTTTAAAGGTAGGAGACTTGTCATTTGTTGGTTGTATTTTGTATGTGTATAGGATAATCAAGTGTATATAAAAATTTTAAAAAGAAAATTATAAATAGAATGTTTTATTATTTTAATCAATCAACTTATTCCCTCCGCTTTTTATACATGAGCAAATTATAATCCGTTTACATAGTTTAAAAATGATTAATCCTAATAATTATGTCTAAAATTGAAAGGGATGGATTAAGATATACTTTTGATTAATAATTTATTTTGTCCTAATTTAATGGTACTATCATTTAATGAAGAGTAGTTAAGGAAATATATCATAAATTTTTTTTAATTATTGCTTTGCTTACAAAAATAACAACAACGCATATGAAAATTTGGTTATATTTAATAACAGAGGAAATATATAGTAAAATTTGTCAATGTATTGCAATAGAACTACAATGATTTTGTAAAATAAATTAGATTTAGATTTAATGAGTAACATAAATCTTCTCATTTAATGAGTATCACACATGACATGACAATAATTGTTTGATTTAATTGAATTGTTTTAAGATATTTTATCATGTATTTAATGAATAAATCTTAAATGTTTGGAGGGGGCAATATATGTGAGAAGTGTTTTGATTATAGAGTTATTTTGAAATTTTTTAAAAAAATATCTTAATAATTTTTAAGTATTAATATAATTCAATAGATATAATTAATATACTTGCTGAATAAGTGAATTTAAGCCGTTTATTGAATTCAAATCTAAAGTAAATTGCTATAATTTTACCATTATTCAACTATTTTTGTAAAATTTTAAAATTTTATTTTAAAAGATTAAAGTTGCCTGCATTAAATATTGTAGACAAGTACAATCAATTATAATTTTAAAATTATGTTTTAATGTCTCTACTTTTTATTGTAAATGTGGTTTGGGTACTGTAAAACCCAGTAATTTTTTTATTTTAATTTCTATGTTAAAAGAGAATGCGGAGGCTGGTTTAAAAAATGTGATGAGGGACCAAAATAAAAAAGTAAGTGGTAAATTTCGAACATATAATAAAAATGTAAACGGGGAACTTATAAAAAAAATTAAATTTAATTTTTCACAAATTATAAAAATTTTGATCTACCTGCACAAGGTAATAAATTAAATGATAAAAGAAATTTTCATAAAATAAATTTCATATATTTACACATAAGATGTATTTTAAGTTTGTTACCCATTACAATAAATTTTAAACTACAATAAGTTGGTTTTCATATATTTAATATCCATGGGATAACAAGTTTTAAAATAAAATATGTTGTTTATTTGTTAAAGAATAATGAAATTTTTAATCCCTCAAATTTGCTTAGCTATTGATTTAGTTTCTTAAGTTTAATTTTTATCAAATTTAATTCATTACATTTTTTTAAACAGTCACTTTAATCTTTTAGGTTTTGAAACACAAATGGACTCTTGAAATAATCTGACATGTAGAGTATGTTAATGACTTGATATGTTACAAATGGCTAAATGGAAAAAAAATTGCTGTCAAGTCATTTTGATTTCATCATAAATTTATGTGGCTGTCAATTTTATATTTTTTATATATGTTTTTAAATTTTAATGGTATTCCTTCTAATTCTATTTATAGGTCACTTTCAATATATTTCTTTGAAGAATCTTAAACTTTATTAACTTTATTTTAAAATTTAATAAGTTTTTACTTTTACCCCCTAATAAATATTATCAAATATCATTATTGGCATTTTTTTCAAAGTATTTAATTAGAGTAAAAATATAAATAAAAAAATTAAAAATTAACAAGTGCTCTATAAATATGATTAATTTTTTTCTTTTTTCACTGCCCTATAAATAGGACCGGAGAAATATGTTACATTTTTTTTTAAACAATAAACTTGAAACATTAAATTGCTACTGAAGCAAACTTAAGGGACTAAAGTTTTGCCATCCTTTTTTAACACATGCATTACGTAACAAATTTTAAAGTAGAACCAACTATCGTCTATATTGAATGATGGTATTTTAACATATTTTTTATTTATGTATGTTCTGATTTAGTTTTTAATTTTTAAATTTTAATTACAAAGTGAAATGGTCATAAATTATGCTTATAAAATATGTCATTTATGATTTTAATATACACA